CCTGGGGCAAGCAGCAGGGGCTCGGCCTGAGGTAGGACACTGCCCGCTACCGTGGCCAGAGCTGGCTCTGTGGTGCCCAGAGCTGTGAAGAGGCATTTCCCTTTGGAAGCCGGCTACCCTGCTGGTCCCCATCGGGCTGGGGTGCCAGCGGGGGTGGGGGACTCCTTGTGGGCGGTTGGGGGGGCAGTTACACTGGGTGTTGCAGGGTCACATGAAGAAGTTGGCCTTGATGCCGGGGTCATGGAGGGGTTTGAACAGCTGGAGCTATTGCTGGAAGCTCCAGCCAGGCCCCCTCCCTTCCCTGGTGCCGAGCGCCCTGCAGGGGATGAGCTTGGACCTGGTTCTGGTCTGGCTGGTGGATCCATCTTAGCCTGTCTGGCTGTAGCGAGCTGCTGACCATGGCAGCATGGCACGGAGCTGGGATCCCAGCTGGGACAGGGGCTCCCTCCATGGCCTCCCCCAAGTCACTGAGGGCCTGCATGTCACCCGCAGGCCAGGCTTCCGAAATCGCCCGGTGTGTTGGGTGCTCAGCTCTCTGCCTCAGGAAGAGGGGGTGACTCTCCGCCCCAGGGGAGTGGATGATCTAACCGCGGGGAGGGGTCTGAAGGCAGAAGTGCCCAGCACAATGAGTCTCTGCAGGGCAGTTCTGGAAGCCCCCTTGCTGGATTCATTTGAACCCCACCAGGGCAGAGCCCTGGAGAACCCCGTGGAGGAGGCAGCCCTGCCCTGCCCTGCACTGCCTGCAGAGATGGACAAGAGGAGGCCTAATAAGTCTCTTCCGTTGCTAATTTCTGTGATTGTCTCCAGGGGAGAACATGTCCCAGTGCCAGCCCAGGGAGCTGGGGAATTTATCTTCATCAGATGGGCGACCTCATCAGTCTTCTGGGATAATGGATGAGGAGCCGGGGCCGCTGGACTGCACCAGGCTGTAGGTTTCAGTTAGCACAAGAGCTGAGGATTCCGATTTCCTCATGCCCAGGGTGCTGGAGTGGGCCAGGCAGAGCCCCAGGGCATTCCTGCCCAATGCCCATCTCTCTTTGCAGAAAGCCTCTGGCACGGGCTCCATTGCTTTGCCCTTCCACTGACCCCTTCAGAGGGTCATGCTGGTGGATTCTTGCCCCCCCAGGCCCTCGTGGGCCAGCTCCTTAGCTGCTATGAGCAGGGCTGGGGGGACGGTGGGCTCAGCCCTCCGGCCTTTCACCTCTGCAGATGTAAATTCCAAGCTTAAATTAGGTAAACGCAGAAGAGTTTTCTGAGCTCAGCCTAATCCATGCTCAACGCTTCTCCCAACTCCCTCCCCAGCCCCAGAGACTCCCCAGGCTGGAGCCTGGAGCCCTTGGCATTGCTTGGGGAGGGGCAGTGCTGGAGAACTACAGGTGCTGGCTGAGGGAGCAAGGGGCATCCCATGTTGCAGCCCAAGCGAGGAGTGCCGGAGTCGGCGGTGCTGGCCCTCCCTCGCTGTCTGCGGCCCCAGCCTCTGCCCAGAGTGGGGCTGTTTTCTTTTCTCTATGACAGCATTGACCTCCGCAGCCAAGAGAAATCATTCCAGGAACCGCAGCCGGCCTCCTTCCTCCCTTGCCCCGGCCTCTGCGTGCACAGGGCTCCTGCAATTAGCCAAGTGCCTCGAGGGGCAACTTTCCCCCGCATCCCAAGTGCAGGCAGAGGAGAGCCACCCCCTGCTCATCGCCTCTCGCCAGCAGCGGGGCGGCCCAGGCAGTTCTTGCCAGCGCTGGTTACAAACACCCCTGTGAAATCAGGCCCCGCTGTGCCGCACGGCCACAAGGAGCGGGCGATCCAAGGATTATCAGTGGTGGGGAACTGAGGCCCCAGCTCACACAGGCCTGCCCAGTACTTATAAGTGGTCCTCAAGTAACAAACCAGTATACACAGCACTCCTGAAGTGACCCTACAATAACAACCTGTGTGCAAAGCAACCTCTCCACGAACACACCGATACGTGCAGCAATCACCAGTGACCCTATAACATCAAACCATTGTGCATCACACACACGAGTGACCCTACAGTAAACCACCATATGTCTGGCAAAGGGCAAAAAACCAAAGGCAAAGGCAGTTGATTACAGGATTAATCTTCCACATGGTTTATTCTTAATGCCAGCAAGAGAAAGGAGAAATGATGTGAACAGTTCCTGGCTGAGCCCCTATTAAAGTCATCTAGTCACCACTGACTAGAGCGGGATTTTCTTTGGCTTACCCTGGGGGAACAGAGTGTGCACAGTTCACCCTATTATTATAGCAACAATAGGTCTTCAGGGCTCTGAGAGCAACCCACTAAGACAGGGAAAACCCAGGCGAAGGGCATGCGCTGATCCCTGCGCGTTTCCTCTCCTGGGCACACAGGGAGGCGTTAACCAGTTTACTATCATATTGCACTTCTAACTGGTGCTGGCCGTAATTATTATTATTAGCGAATTATGCCTCATATTGTAGGGTTTTGACGTGTGAAGGGCAGAAAGGAATCTCCTTGCCGCGCCGCGGGCTCTGCATTGATCGGGGGGAAGGCAGAATGAATAGTTATTACACAACCCGATGGCAGGGCCAATTACACGCCTCGCTCCTGGGCTAGTCCCAGCTCGTTTTCTCAAGGGCTACGAGAGACCTGAGTTACAGGTTAGACTCAGCAGGCTGCAGAGATTTCCCAGGCAAGGATTAGTTATTGCTCCCCTCCTAGCATGAGCCAGGAGCAGTGTGACATAGCAAACCACAGCTGCTTTACCAGGGACGGCGCCTAGAGAACCGCAGGCAGTGAGCTACAGAGGTAAGGCTGGCAGGTGGCAGGACGTGGCCTACGGTTACGATCACCTCTAGAGGGAGGTAGGCTCCAACTCACCGCGCCAGCTCTTTTAGCCAAGGAGTGAAATAATCCATGACTGTGTTGCAGCTAAGGTCGCCAACCCTCCAGGATGGTCCTGGAGATCACCAGGAGTTAAAGATGAACCTTTAATTAAAGATGATGTCATGGGATGAAACCTCCAGGAGTATGTCCAGCCCAAACTGGCAGTTTTAGTTACAGCTTTCCTGTGAAACCGCATCGTGCAGCATCACCCTACGCTCATGAGGGGCGGGGGGTGTCGGCTAGGGGAGATTGGAGACCACCTCTCTCTGCTGTCTTGGGGAGATGGCTCCGAAATGCCTGAATGAGGGTTCTGGATCCGTGACAGTGAGACGTGGTGAGCCAGGAGCAGTGGCCAGGGGAAGGTGGCTCACTGGAGTGAGGGTGAGGTGTCACAGGTACCCATGTGAAATTCCCCTCTCAAATACACAGACACAATTACACACATCCTCATACAAGCACTCACTCATTCACATGTATACGTGCGCACACACGCACATACTCAGACACAGTCACACCTACACTAGTGTGCATTCACACACACTTGCATACAACTGCACAGGCACGTTCCCCCATACACTTGTGCACGCACGCATACCCCGGCACACGTGCAGGGTGGGGTGAGCACTCACCGCCCTGTCCTGCCACGTGCAAACACTCAGGTACCTCCACACACTTGTGCACGTGCATACTGCTTTCAATGCTGTCCTGGGGGAAGGTCTCCCCCCAGCAAAGGGTGCCCGGTGAGCAGAATGCAGGGCAGGCCTCAGTGCACCCACCAGCTGGCTCCTGGAGGAAATTTCTTTGTGAGGGTAAGGCCAACTCCCCCCCCAAACTCTGTTGCCTTTGTAGTCCTGGGCCCATAACCACAGCCCCAGAGAGGCCGCTTTTGCACCAGGCTGTCCCCCTAGCGACTGCCTGCTACAGCCAGATTCCGGTGCTGGGTGAGATGAATTTGGGAGCCTCAGCCTTCTTCCTGGCAGAACATTTTCCAGCTCACAACCCTCCCCCCCCCACTTAGCTGGGGATGATGGGGGGAGCAGGGGGGGCATCAGAAGAGCTGTGTAGGGGGGGAAGGGGGCAGGGCTGTGGCTGGGGGGAAGGGGCGGTAGGGAAGAGCTACTGGGGGTTCTGGGTCAGGCTTGAGCTAATTAAAAATGGGCAAAACTTCAGAAACCTCGGGGAAGGCCAGGCGCTCATTCCGCTTCCGTGCAATGGCAGGAGACCTGGCAAACTCAGGACACCCCTGAGCTAGGCCGGAGGGAAGCAGCTCTCCGGGGCGGGCCCCCCGGCACCCTCCTCCACCTGCTGCTTTTGCCCGGTTACGCCCCCCGCGGAAATAGCTCGTTAGCTGGGCGGGGGGAGGCGAGAGCCCGGGTCTCTCCAGCTACCCCCGCGCGCAGGCCCGACCGGACCCACCGGCTTCCCCGGCTGCCCCGCAGCGCCCCCGGCCCCTGTTCGCCGCCGAGATCGCCGGAGCCGGGGGCGCGGGGCTCGCGGGAGCTCGCCCGAGGCTCGGATCGGGAGCTCTCTCGCGCTCTGCATGTGTATCGGTTTCCTGTGGCAAAGCGGCTGCGGTGTAAGGAGGCGAAAAGGGGCTTTGTCCCCGCTCCGAGCCGGGGTCCCCCACCCTCCGTGCCTTGGCCGCGCGCTGCCGGGGGGGGGGGGGAACCCGGGTCGAGGCCCCTTTTGCCGCTTCCACGCAAAGCCCA